CTTCTGCAAAACAGCGGTTGATTTCATATACACTGTGAAGCCAAAATAAGAGCTGTTGTTTGTGGCTTAGCATGTTGTGTGAACCAGCAGCCATTCGGCTTGTAAATCATGGTTATGGCTCAGTGCATCATGCCGCATTTGTGCTATACTCAGTCAACTGAGGTTAACCAATCCATGGGTTGGAGTGTTTTGTGAACCAAACCAGATGGAAGAGGACTTGTGGGCACAAAATGACGTAAAATGAAATGAGGGAGACTATTATCAGCAATAGGGGTTTTTTAGTAAGTCAAGGAGGGTTCCAGCATAGCATCAGGATGGTAGGACATACACATCAAAGGTGGGTTCTACTTACCTTTACTACCGGTTTGCAGATGACGTCAGGGTCGGTGGGTGGAGCCTCCCACCGGTTTTACTACCGGTTCTATAAAACCGGTGCGAACCGGGGGCAACCCACCACTGATACACATGGGTCATGGGCATTGGTGGGTTCTAACTGGCTTTACTACCGGTTCTCTTTGTGTACGTGCTTCGCGCGCAATCACCTCTTTGTGCACGCGCTTCACGTGCGATCGCCGCATGCATGGTCGCTTCACTCGCATGTGCGTCAAACTTGTACTCCACGCAAGTACGTTACAAATCTGCCCAGCTGAGGTGCAGCAATCCACTCTTCTGCACCTATCAGCTGGGCTAAAAAAGAAGAAATAAAAGGTAGGAATAACGCGGGGGTGGGCGGGAGAGCCCAGCTCCCGAACAAAGAGAACCGGTTCAGTGACATCGTATCGTCACTGCTACCGGCTCGGCCAAACTGGGCCGAACCGGGAGGAACCCAACACTGGTCATGGGTCACTTTTCTCAATAGAGTCTGCCTAGATTCCCACATTCTCCTATGTGATTTATTTAATTTTAGGTTACAGCGTTGTGTGAACTCAGGTATATTTTTATGTGTAGAGTTTAATTTTAAAGTGGGATACTAGAGCAAAAACAAAACAAAACAAAAAGTAGAGAATAGGCCAGTGATTAAAAATATATACAATTAATATTATTAAATAAAATGAAATCAAACACATCAAAATTTAATTGAAACGAAACATAGGTAATAAGATTATCCTCCAATCATATATTTTAATTATTTATCCTTCTGACATGTTTGTCAGAAAAACTTTCCAAGAATTTGATGGAAATTTCAGGTTCTGGGTCTGCAGTTTGGTAACTCTGCTTAATGGTTTACTATACTACACTATGTATATAAATCCAGCCCCTTACTAATTGTGACAATACTTTCAAACAAAATAGAATGCAGAAATTTGTTCACACTGTGTGCCTAATCTGATTACTGACAAATCCATTTCCTGGGTTGATACAAAGATTGAATCATAAGCTATCCAAACAAGCTGCATAACAATAACTCACAAAAAAAACTTAAGTGTGTTTAACACTAATCAAGTTTAGCATCTTGTATATATGTAGTTGTTTGGTCTTTAAGTGACCTAGTTAAACATAATACACGAAACAGAGACTGGTAAAAATGGAAGCACATTCGTAGGGTGTACAGTTTACTCTCTACTTGATGCACAAATGCACAAACTGCAGAATTAAAGTATAGTTGTTTAATCATTGTTGATAGTTGTTTAATCATTGTTTAAAGGCTTCCAATGAAAGACAGCCCAGTATCCCTCTAGACAGTGGTGAAATGTAAATTTTGTTACTACCGGTTCTGTGGGCGTGGCTTGGTGGTGGTGGTGGGGGGTTAATATGACAGTGGGTGTGGCCAACTTTTTTTTTTTACTTTTAAAATCATTTTTCTACAACTTCAGCTGAAGAGGTTGTTAAAAAAATGCTTTTAAAGTCTCTGATCCCAGCTGACTTGCCTGATCGGCAGAGGCTTTTTCTTTTTTTTTTAAGCCTCTGACAATTCCCAGCTGACTTGCCTGATCGGCAGAGGCTTTGTTTTTACTTTTAAAAGCATTTTTTCTATAACCTCTTCGGCCGAAGAAGTTGTTGAAAAAATGCTTTTAAAAATAATTAAAAAAAAGCCTCTGATGATTGCATGGCTCAGCTGGGCAATGGGGGGGGGGGCAGGGATTTTTGCTACCGGTTCTCCGAACCACCCGCCTCCATCGCTACCGGATCAGGTGATCCGGTCTGAACCGGGAGCATTTTACCCCTGCCTCTAGATAAGAGTCCTAAATTTCCTTGGTTCCTTAGTTGTGCTGTAGTGAACTCACTAACAGTTCTATTTATTAAATACAGGTAGTCCTTGATTTACAACCATTCATTTAGTCACTGTTCAAAGTTACAATGGCACTGAAAAAAGTGACTCATGATCATTTTTCAGTTACGACTTTTGCAGCATTCCCATGAATCCAAATGATCACATGAACAAAATTTGGACACTTGGCAACTGGCTCATATGAATGACGATTGCAGAGTCTCAGAATCACGCAATCCCCTTTTGCAACTTTTTGAAAGGCAAAGTCAATGGAAAGCCAGATTCACTTTACAGCCATGTTAGTAATTTAACAACTGCAGTGATTTACTTAGCAACTGTGGCAAGAAAGGTCATAAAATGAGGCAAAACTCACTTAAAACTGTCTCACTTAACAACATAAATTTTGGGCTCAGTTGTGGTCATAAGTTGAAGACTACCTGTAGTAAAATATCCTATGCCCGTGATGGCGAACCTATGGCATGTGTGCCACAGGTGGCACGCTGAGCCATATCGGTGGGCACGTGAGCGTTGCCCTAGCTCAGGTATGGCGCACATGTGCGAGCTGGCCAGCTGATTTTCGGGCCTTCTGGGTCCACCAGAAGTCGGGAAACGGGCCATTTCCGGCCTCTGGAGGGCCTCCAGGAGGGTGGGGAAGGCCATTTTCGCCCTCCCCAGGCTCCAAGAAAGCCTCTGGAGTTTGGGGAGAGCAAAAGATGGGCCTACGAGCCTACCGTGCCATTGCGTGCCAAAGTGGGGGGAGCGCAGGGGGGTCATGTACGAATGCGTGGGGGGGGCAGGGGGCATTGAATTATGGGTGTGGGCATGCGACACCCCCCCCGCACTCTCCCTGCTTTTGGCATGTGACGGCAAAACGGTTAGTCATCACTGTCCTATGCCGTCCTTGTGTTTCACTCCCAGTGCTATGCTGTAGAGTTTGGGACCCTCAGCCCCTTTCTTGAATTGCTTTTGCTAAGAATCATAGGAAAAAAAATACAGAACTCTTTTCTGATTAACAAGTGTTATTAAAAGGAATAAATCTCATGAGTTGCAGGCCTCTTCATAAGATATGCTTTCTCTTTCTGATTGTTTTGGCACCATAGATTAGCATGGTTCTCTTTCTACAATGTCTAAAATCGAATCTTAGAGATTCTATGGGAAGGAAAGAGACCTTGGAGATCTTCATGTCCGACCATCAGTCCCAGGAAAAACTCAAGGCCCGCAGGCCAAATCCGGCCCGCGGGGTGCTTAAATCTGGCCCATGGGGCCACCCTGGAAATAGCAAAGGACCAGCCTGTGGTGCCTCTGGCAGCCAAAACAGGGTGTGGGGGGGCTAGATGTGCTCCCTGTGGCCCGTTTTCCACCTAGACGGCCTCCTGCAGCACTTTGCCTGTGTGTGGCACATGGGGGCCACACGCAGCCCCCATGTGCTCCATTTGGGCCAGAAAAGTGCTGCAAGAGGCCATCCAGGCTGAAAACGGGACACGTGCCCCCCCCTGCACTCCATTTTGGCTGGCCGGGTGCTACAGGAGGCATCCGTCCCATCTCCCCACCACCACTGGCCCGTGGAGGAGAACTACAATACTGATCCGGCCCTCGAAGAAATCCAGTTTGACACCCCTGCCTTATGCCATTCTGGACAAATGGCTGTCCACTCTTTGAAATCCTCCATTGATGGAGCACCATCAGCTCTAGGAACAAGCTATACCACTGCTTAATAGCTCTCATGATCATTGCTTTTGGTTTTGAGTTTGGCTCTCCCTTCGCAAAGCTTCTGTTCATTGGTCCTTGCCTTATTCTCAAAAAGCTTCTAATGCTCATTTTGAACCCCCTATCTTGTCATTTAAATCTACAACATTTAATCCCACTTTAGGGATAACACAGAATAACAAGCCAATTCTTCTGAAGAGAACCTGGCATTGTGCGGTAGAATATGACAACTACGGATGCAGGCCTAGCAACTTCCCACAAAAATGAACTCCCTACTAAATTATTACCTTTTGAAAAATTAAAGGCTGATATCTTGCAAGTCATCTAGCTTGAAATGTTGTGTCAGATAACCCAAGTCTCATAAGATTTGAGGCAATTAGTTTTTAAGGGGGCTTGTAAAAGTTACTGACCCCCAGGGAGAGAAAGATGGACTAACGGAATAATAAAGCAGACTCGGAATGACTTATGGGGAATTTTGTTGTCTTCCAGAGATATAACTTTGAAAACAGGGTGTAGGTATAGTCCTCAGTTTGAAAGAAAGAGATCTCTAGTGGTTGCCAAGAATGCAACCATTGAATGCAAAACATTTTTACTAGTTTCTAAAGATTCTTTATAGTGCACGCAGCTAATTCTAAAATGGTAGTTGGAAAAATGCATTTGGAATATATGTATACATTAATATTATTCCAATTCACAGGTTTTGCAGCTGGGCCTTCAAATTTAAAACAGGCCCTGGGGTTAGCCTTGGATCAGATTAAGCCCAGTCAAACATTTATATATAATCATGACTGTTTAACAAAGGCTTTTCCTCAGTAAGGAAAAAAAAGACAGCCCCAAGTGTTTAATAAAGGAAATAGAAGAGGTTAAGAACCATCATGCTGGCCAGTAAAGGCATCTGGTGAATATTAGACGTGTCAGCAAGTCATAAAAAAGCCAGTTCATCAAGAACATTCCATTTATATATTGCTGACAAGAATAACAGCAGAAAATGAAAATATGAGAAGAAGAATAGGGAGACAAGGGGAAAAACAAAATACAAAAAATAGTATAGGTAGTTTTATCAAATAAAAAAAAAAACACAAGGTAATTTAGAATAATGTTTTAATCTGGCTTCCACTGAATGATATGTCAGTACCAAAGAAACATGGGTGAATTGTGTTTTCTTGATGGATCAGTTCAACATCTTGTTAATCGTTCTCTTCCCCATGGGTAATAACGTAAACAAGATTCTTGTAATCAAGATAACCAGAGGGATCTGGAGGAAAAGCACTGAAGGTCTGCTTCACCTGAAGAAGATTTACAAAATAAAGGTTAGAAAGGACATATGGGGAGAGTTAATAATTGCAGTTTCCACATAGACAAAACAAATCCTAACCAGGTTTCTAGTCCATAGGGACAAAGTTCATGGTTCACACTTGGAAGAATGAAGTGTTGACAGCAAAACTATTGGACAAGGATTTACTGCAGGTGGTTGAAGGTGGAATTAGACAAATTGTCAAATGTGATTTTGCAAGAAAAAGCATGCCTGCCATTTTGATTTTTTCATCTTCTGCTTTGAATTGAAAAGGGTTAGCGACTATTCAAAGTTACGATGGACCCCCCCCCTCCCAAAAAAGGAACTTATAACTCAATTCTGGAGTTCTGACAGAGGCACACACACAACCCGCAGTCACATGGCTGCATTTCAAGTGCGTGTCAATCAACTACTTCTACAGTTGGTTGCAATGTTCTACATCCACCTGATACAATTTACAATGTATTTTGCTAGAAACTGGGATTTTTAGGCAGTTTCCAGCAAAAAAATATCCATATAATGCATTGACTTGCTTAACAATCATGGGGTTTTTCTCAGAGGTGGGATTCAGCCGGTTTGGATCGGTTCTGGTGAACCGTTTGTTAAGATTCTGCGCAGTTCGGCAAACTGGCAAATTCCACCACTGGCTGGTCCGCCCCTCACCGCCCCGCCCACCCTGCCTCTTACAACTACTTCTTTTCTCATCTCGTTTGCTTTGGCCGCTCGCTTGCCTTGCTCAAAGCGGCGGCTCACGGCTGCTAAATTTCGCTTTGCTGTGCAAGATGCTCTCCCGGCAGGCCACCAGCAAGAGAAGGGGCAGAGAGAAGCAGCCGCCAACCCGGAGAGCACGTGGAGTGTCTCCCCGAGTGCCCGAGGCATGCCCAGCATCAACAAGGGCAGCAAGAAGATCAAGCAACATCTTGCAGCCCCAGCACTGCTTCTGGCCCTTGTTGGTGCTGGGTGTGCCGTGGGCGCTTGGGGAGATGCTCCAGGTATGCTCCCTTTCTTCCAGGACCCATACCCACCTGTGCTATCCCACCTTGTTGTGAGTGACGTTGAGTTGGCCACGCCCACTCAGTCACATGACCACCACCACCCAGCCACACTCACCCAACCAGTCACTAGGAAGAACTGTTTGTTAAATTACTTGAATCCCACCACTGGGTTTTCTTAATGATCACTGCAAAAAATATCATAAAATCAGGTTGGTCATGTGCTTTGACTTATGGCAGCAATGACTTATGATGGAAATTCTAAGCTTACAGTTGTAAGTCAAGGACTACCTATATTACTAATAATGATCACATAGAGGCAATAAATCTGGTTTTCATATGGACACTGGTTGCAATTGTGATGAAAATAGAATATTTTGATTGATGTGGACAATCCACTCAAACAAAATATGCTCTAATAATGGGACAAATTTCAAATCTGTACTATTAGGATGGGAAAAAAACTTATATGAATGTACAAAGTGATAACTTTTAGACTCTTGCACAGATATTAGCCACATAAGATGCTTGAATCTGCAGTATTCTTATATTAAATTTTAATAGTGGAAGTTAACATTTTTAAATGGTCCACTTTTTCAGTTTCAAATCTTGCAAAAGGTGGCATCTTTTAGAAATTTCATGAGATTTAAGCTAAGAAAAAACAAAATTTCATAAAACCCCACTTAAGAAGGCACAAAATTGCAAGGGGCACATTTGTCAAAATTGTGTGAATTGTTGCCGTGATCAGGGCCGGATTTTCCTATAGGCTAACTAGGCTTCAGCCTAGGGCCTCAAGATCCAGAGGGGCCTACACAGTGTGGGATTCTGGGTGTTCTAGGTGGCTCCGCCGAACCCTTTGTTAAATTTCTGGCTCCCCCGCCCCTCCGCACCACTATTTATTGCCAATAAATAGTGGTGGGCGAGGGGCGGGGGAGCCAGCAATTTAACAAAGGGTTCGGTATTTTTTTTGTAATGTTATTGGCCCCCGGAGCTTCAGCATAGGCTAATTGGCCTCCCGGCTCTCAGCTGATTTGTCTCTGCTGTTTTGTTTCCTTCCAAAGGGTGCTGATTTTTTTTCCCCTAGCTATACTGAGAAACGAAAGCGAAACTGCTTTGCTGTTGCTGCAAGGTTGGAAAATTAGGCAGGCAGAATTTCTTTTTTTTTCCTCACCAAAAAAGGTACGTGCAAACAATGGGAAATTTAGGGAAAAAGAGAAGAGTTCAGGATTTTAAAACACAAAAGAAAAAAAAAGCTGTATTTAACTAGGGAATTGTAATAATTGAGATACTATTAATTGTATATTTCTGAAAGCAGAAATGGTTAAGTTGTGGTTTGGAGGAATATATGGGGGAAATTATTTGTTTATTATTATTGGTAAATATAATTAATGGATTTGTAAGAAATTGGATTGCATGGAAATAATTGGAATATTCATGTTCATATTGATTAATATACAAAAAAGGTAGTTATATAACTAATTGATTTATATTAAAATGTTGAATTTATATTAAACAACTAATATTACATAATTAACCAATGTGAGGATGGATATAAAAATAGATGACAATGGGAAGGGGTATAATATAGAATAGAAGGGAAAAATTGAATTTGATTAAGATTAGAGATGAGGATGAGGGTAATATTGGTTTTTTACAAAAATAGATGAGGAATAAATATGGCAAAAAGGAAATATAGAAATTGTAAATTAATTGAAATGACTAAACACTGTTTAAATTTGTGAACCGGCCAAATACTCTGTTCAAAGAAAATACATTGTATGTTTGTATGTGTGTTTCTAATTATTGTTATTTATTCATATTCGTTCTCTTTTATTCTTTAAAGTTTAACAATTCATTCTTTATCTTAATATCTTTATATTTGTTTGGGGTTGGCTTTCTTCTCTTTCATCTTTTTTATTGTATAGCAATCTTTCTCCTCAAACCTACCACCTTTCTTTTCTTTCCTTCTTACTTTCTCTTCCTCCCCCTCTTCTTCTCCTCCCTACTTCCTCTTCCTTTCTCCTTCTCCTTCTCTCTTCCTCCTCTCTCTCCTACTCTAATTTCCCTTCCCTTCCTTCATCCCTCTCTATTGCTGTATCCTTTTATGCATATGGACTACTCAGAGGGCTGAAAAAGTTATTTCTGACTGGTCCTTGCACTTTTTGACCAGTCCTCAAACTTACGACTGTCCTCACATTTTACGTTTTTGCCCTATCTTGTCACCATGGTGAAGAAAAGCAGTTGTGAAATGAGTGACATGGTTGTTAAGAAAGCTGCACGGGCATAAATGTGAGGATGGTCATAAGTGTGAGGACCGGTCAAAAGTGCGAGGCCCAGTCAGAAATGACTTTTTTCAGCCCTCTGGGTAGTCCTTTTGTGCATATGGACTACTCAGAGAGCTGAAAAAGTTATTTCTGACTGGTCCTCGCACTTTTGACCAGTCCTCGAACTTACGACTGTCCTCACATTTTACGTTTTTGCCCTATCTTGTCACCATGGTGAAGAGAAGCAGTTGTGAAATGAGTGACATGGTTGTTAAGAAAGCTGCACGGGCATAAATGTGAGGATGGTCATAAGTGTGAGGACCGGTCAAAAGTGCGAGGCCCAGTCAGAAATGACTTTTTTCAGCCCTCTGAAAAAAGTCTATGCATGTAGCCACGCCCACCTGGTCACATGACGAGCTACCCACGCCTACACAGTCACGTGACCAGCTAGCCACGCCCACCCAGTCACATGATTGCCAAGCCACACCCCCAACTAAGCCACGCCCACAGAACCTGTTGTTAAATATTGAATCCCACCACTGGTGAAAGGGCCTCATAAGTGGAATAGCCTAGGGCCTCTTTCAATCTAAATCCGGCCCTGGCCGTGATACATACATGTATATATACATGTATATATAAAAATAAATACCTTTTTAAAATAAATTTTATTAATTTTCTATTTATTACATTTCTTAGTGCTTAATAAGCATTGTGTTGTCTGGGTATTTAAGTTGCTTAACAATACAAATTCCCTTCTTTGGAAGTTTAATTATACAGTAGTTAGCTAGCTATAGAGATATGCCTGAAAAAAATGCCAGTTCCTCGTGTACAGTCTACATTTGGTCTCCCCTAGAGATTTGGAAATTATTATTTTCTAAAGAAATTATTAATGCCATCATTCAGTGGGCCAATGTAAAAATTAGAGAAGAAAGATTGAAGTTCAAGGATGGAGAAACAAAAAGTGATCTTTGATATAGGATTTGATAGAGATCAATACATTTTTTGGTTTACTGATTTATACATCAATTTTTAAATCCAACCATGAGAACATTGAATGTCTTTTTGCTACTGACCTCATGTCTGTAATAGTACATCTGTGGTTAAGGGTTAAACTCAACAGATCTTAAAGTTGCCAAATTTGAAAAATACTGAATGGGAGTATGCATGAGAGATGGATTTTGATCCTTCCCTTCCCTTCCCTTCCCTTCCCTTCCCTTCCCTTCCCCTTTTCCCCTCCCTCCCTCCCTTCCCCTCCCTCCCTTCCCTTTCCTTCCCTCCCCTCCCTTTCCCTCCCTTTCCTTCCCTTCCCTCCCCTCCCTTCCCCTCCCTTCCCTTCCCTTCCTTCCCTTCCCTTCCCTTCCCTTTCCTTCCCTTCCTTTCTCCACCACCCAAGAAGCTTAAATATTTCCAGAAAATAAGGATTTCACAACATCATAGACCGGCACAGTCTTTTGTCCTCTAAACATGTTGGTCTTTTGTTCCCATGCTCCACATCCCTGCAAGGGCTGATCAGCTTATGGGATGTGTACATAAGCTACAGATCACTACCCGAAATACTTTAAAGCTCTTTTAGCTATTAACCCCATATCAAGCAAAATAATGAGTGAGAGATGGATTTCCTTTCCTTTCGTTTCGTTTCGTTTCCTTTCCTTTCCTTTCCTTTCCTTTCCTTTCCTTTCCTTTCCTTTCGTTTCGTTTCGTTTCCTTTCCTTTCCTTTCCTTTCCTTTCCTTTCCTTTCCTTTCCTTTCCTTCCCTTCCCTTCCCTTCCCTTCCCTTCCCTTCCCTTCCCTTCCCATGTATACTGGAATCACCAAATTCTTGTGGAAATATTACGATTCTTGACATCACATTTTGACCACAAAATCCTTCCCAACACTTCCTGCCACGAAAATTATTCTTGCCAAATAGGGAGAAAAAATTATGTGGGATGCATGCAGTTTTCATGATGAAGTAAATCTTACCTCTTCCTCAGTGAACCGGTCTGCCTGCGTCATGAGCACTTCTTTCATACTGTATCAAAATAAAATATATAAAGTAAATAAAACAAAAAAAATAGATAAAAGAAAGAAAAATAAAATAAAAGACAGCACAAAGGTGACTGGCCAAGTTGCTTTATCAATGCAATGCTGTCTCTGATACTAAAAGGAAATTGATAGCAGTAAATAGTACAAGTACTGTAGTTCTCAGCTTATGACAACAATTGAGCTCAAAATTTATGTTGCTAAGCGAAACATTTGGTATGTGAATTTTGTCCCATTTTGCCACATTTGTCAAGTGAATCACCGTAGTGGTTAAATTAGTAACATTGTTGTTATTACCATATTTTTTGGAGTATAAGATGTACCTTTTTCCCCCCTAAAAGGGGGTGAAAATTTAGGTGCATCTTATACACTGAATGTAGCCCCGCCCACCCATTGCCGCCCACCCACTGCCGCCCACCCTTTGGCTTCTGCCTCGCAGCAGTTACCTTCTTGCAAGCAAACAGCAAGAAAAAACAGCTCCTTTCAGCTTCAGCACAGCCTAATTAGCACAAGTTGATTGGATCGGCCTCCTGACTCTCAGCTGATTTGCTCTCAGCTGTTTTGCGCAGGGCTCTGCTGCTTGCTGCATTGAGCTAGAATAATATCTAGTTTGTTGCTTCCTTATGGCCTTATGGCCCCACTCTCCACCCTTTCCCTTCTTTACATCTCTATACGCAAATAAATATATCAGTCAGGTGAATACATTGAAGTGTATTGAGTCCATGAAACTCTCAATTTCCATAATCCATTTATTAATCTTTGAGGTGCCACCAAATTCTCTGACATTTTTATTTCATTTTCCCCCTCACAAAGTTTGTGCCTCTTTTAGTCACTAAAATGTCACTATTTATGCTTTACATAAATGACTTTTGTGATCATATTATAAGCAGCTGCATCCTCTTCGCTGATGACGTAAAACTATTCAACACCACTGACAATACTGCTGCCCTACAAAGTGACCTTGACTATGTATCTGAATGGTCGAACATTGGCAACTCCAAATCTCAACCAACAAATGCTGTGTCTTACACATTGGCAACAAAAATCAGAACACCAAATACAAGCTGGGTGGATACGACCTCGTAGATAACCCTCACTCTGTCAAGTACCTAGGAGTACTCATCTCAAACGATCTATTTATTTATTTATTATTCGAATTTCTATACCGCCCTTCTCCTTTCGGACTCAGGGCGGTGAACAGCCAAAATAAAAACATTTATACATAAAGTACGATTAAAAATAGATTTAAAATAATTAAATTTGGCCCATAGTTTAAAATTTATCAATTTAAAATCCATATCAAAATTTAAAACCAACCATAAAATCATAAAATCAAGAGAGACCGGCTAACTGAAAGAGATGAGTTTTTAGGGCCCGACGAAAAGTCCGGAGGTCGGAGATCACTCGTATCTCTGGGGGTAGATTGTTCCAAAGGGTAGGTGCCACCACAGAGAAGGCTCTCCTCCTGGGGGTCGCCAGCCGGCATTGTCTAGCCGACGGCACCCTGAGGAGGCCCTCTCTGTGGGAGCGAACTGGCCGGTGGGAGGCTATTGGTGGCAGAAGGCGGTCCCGTAAGTACCCTGGCCCTAAGCCATGGAGCGCTTTAAAGGTGATCACCAACACCTTGAAGCGCACCCGGAAGTCCACCGGAAGCCAATGCAGCTCGCGCAGGAGAGGAGTCACATGGGAGCGCCCAGTTGCTCCCATAATCCCCCGCGCGGCCGATCTAAGCCCCAGAGCTCACTGTAACAGCATTGCCAAAAAGGCATTAAGAGTTGTTAACCTAATATTGCGAAGCTTCTTCTCCAGGAATATTGTACTGCAAACGAGGGCATATAAAACCTTTGCCTGACCAATTCTTGAATACAGCTTGTCTCCCTGGAATCCACACTGTATAACGGACTTTAATACAATTGAGCGAATCCAGAGGTACTTCACAGGAAGAGTACTCCACTCCTCTGCTCACAACAAAATATCTTATGCCACCAGGCTCAAAATTTTGGGATTGGAAAACCTAGAACTACACCGCCTACGGTCTGACCTAAGTGTAGTACACAAAATTGTCTGCTACAACGTCCTATCTGTCAATGACTACTTCAGCTTCAACCGCAATAATACACGGGCAAACAATAGATACAAACTTAAGGTAAACTGCTCCAAACTCGATTGCAGAAAATACGACTTCAGCAACAGAGTAGTCAACACCTGGAATGCTCTACCCAACTCCTTTGTTACATCCTCTAATCCCCACAGCTTCAATCTTAAACTGTCCACCGTGGACCTCACTCCATTCCTAAGAGGTCCATAAAGGAGGCGTGCATAAGCGCACCATCATGCCTACCGTCCCTGTCCTACTATCCCCATTTATCTGTATTCATTTCCTTCGTTCATGTCCATGTTTATACTTAACACCTGTTATCTAGTAGTGTTCTGCTCCATCTACGGACCCAAAGAACGCAGCACGCACAAAGTATGTACAAACCTTAGTTTACTAAATTAAATCAGTCTTTTTCAAACAAAGGCTGTTAATTAACTTTCTTAACAGCCTACAAGAATCCAAAGAAGAAATAATCGTAATCTTACAAGGATTGGCAGAAAGCCCAGAAGCAATTTGCAGGACACTGATAAAAGAACTAAGATCCAGACACGAAGGAGAATGAACTAAGTTGTTCCCTGCAAATTGCCTCAGTCGTTATCTGTCCTTAAATAGGCTAAGGGAGTGGCCAATTAGTCCCAAGCATTACTCTCGAGGAGACCTATTCCTGAGGAGCCACTCCTGCCTTTTCGCAGCTCTGCGCGCTTGTGCATCGAGAAGAGGCTCCTCCTCTTCTTCCTCTTCACCCATGGAAGCTTCTGGAGGTTCTGAAGGCCTCTGGCACCACATCTTCTCCAGCCTCCTCATTGTCCAACTCGAGTGCCAGCTGCACAGGCTGCTGGCGCACTCCACACCAGCCTCCTCGCTGTCGGAATCAGCTACTAGCTGCACAGGCCACTGATGGGCCACAACACTTACATGTTCGACAAATTAAATATAAATAAATAAATAAACAAATAAATAAATAAATAAGCAAGCAAGCAAGCAGTATTTGGGGGATGGGGGACTTCTGAGGAAAGAGGTAGGTGGGGTGGGAAAGGGCAAGGCAAGGATGAATAAATACAGTTCAGATATAATCCTAAGCATTTCACATCTTGACATATAAAGAGGTCTGGAGAAAAAAAAAATCCCTGCACATTTTCCATTATTTATTTTATAGAGAAACAAAGATGCAGATTTTTCCAAACATAGAACTTTCTGCAGTTGTTGTTTTCCATAATATTTGTTTCCCCAGGGGTATGAAAAGAAAAGATGTCCAACAAGAACAAGATCACAGATCTTCATAAGATTTTCATAAACAAGTGCCCGCCCAATGTCCTTGATGTGGCACACCAGACGACAGGATCTGCAGTCCCAGCCTCATCCAGTTCCAGTATTAAAACAAGATTGGTAAACCTTACAGGGCTACTTAAACAGAAATGGAAACAAATGTGTTTTATTAATTGGGATGCTGCTTTGAGAAGGATTTCATGGGACCAGTGACATGGTATTTCATGACTGGATATGTGCCCAGACAGACTCCAAAGCATTTAGGGTTCCATCAGAGGCCTCCTGAATTCTTAAGGCCTAAATAGATGATATAATATAAATCAGACTGGCTAACACTGAAGCAAATCTGGATTGGAGCACAACATTCTGCCATTCTTCAGAAATAAACCTCCCATTCTTCATGTCCCAAAGGTGCTTTTTCAAAAGACAAGGGCCTTTGTTTTTCCTCGAAGGCATTTTACTTCTCATCCAAGAAGCTTCTTCAGTTCTTGGACAAGAAGCAGAATAACAAGAGTTGGAAGGGATCTTGGAGGTCTTCTTGTCCAACCCCTTGTTCAGGCAGGAAACACTATATCTGTGATGGCGAACCTATGGCACGTGTGCCACAGGTGGCACACAGAGCAATATCAGTGGGCACGCGAGCTCGGCTCCAGCAAGCATGCATGTGCTGCCCAGCTGATTTTCGGGCATTCTGGGCCCACCGGAAGTCAGGAAATAGGCTGTTTCTGGCTTCCGGGTGGGGGGAGGCCCGTTTTTCGCTCTCCCCAGGTTCCTAGAAAGGCTCTGGAGCCTGGGGAGAGTGAAAAATGGGCCTTCCAGTGGGTCCAGAAATCGGTAAACAGGACATTTCTGGCCTCCAGAGGATCTCCTTGGGAGTGGGGAAGGCCGTTTTCACCCTCCTCAGGCTCCTAAAAAGGCTCTGGAGCCTGGGGAGAGCAAAAAACAGGCCTACTGGGCCCACCGTGCCATTGTGTGCCAAAAGCTAGGGAAATGCATGAGGGTCACGCACACATGTGTGTGTGGCAAATAGAATTATGGGTGTGGGCACACACGTGTGCAAACCCCCCCCCCCAGTCCCCCTGCTTTTGGCACGCGATGGCAAAAAGGTTAGCCATCATTGCCCTATATCATTTCAGACAAATGGCTGTCCAATCACTTCTTAAAAACTTCCAGAATTGGAACATCCACAACTTCTGGAGGTAAATCGTTCCACCGATTAATTTTTCTGTCAGGAAATTTCTTCTTAGTTCTAGGTTGCTTCTCTCCTTCATTAGTTTCCATCCATTGCTTCGTGTCCCGCTTTGGAGAATAGGTTGGCTCTCTCTTCTTTATGGCAACTTAGATATTGGAACATTGCTTTCATGTCACCCTAGTTTTTTCTTTTCATTAAATTAGACATACCCAATTCCAGCAACCGTTCTTTAGCGTCTTCAAGGAAAAACAAAGTCCAGTTGCCTTTGGAAAAAGCACCTTTGGGACAACCATGACCTGGATGACTGAGAATCTCCATAAACACTCCCATTCTTCAAAAGAGCATCAAAAAGTAGTTTGCTACAAGATGGTTCATACCTCTCACCATTCCAAGAATCAAACAGGGTTTGTTGGTCAAATAAATCCAAACTTATTTTTGAATATTAATTCATTTTTTCTTAATTGTTTTTACAAATGAGGGCATCAACCAAATGTTATAAAATTAAAAAAAACCCCTCCTATTTCTATGCCAGCCAGTCATATATAAATTGGAGAAATATTCTTTCCCATGGTATACTATACATAATCCTCATGATCAAACTGGAGCCTATTCATTACGGTCATAAGTTGTAACAGTCATAAGCCAGAGGTGAAATGCTCCCGCTTTGGACCGGATCGCCTGATCCGGTAGCGATGGCGGCGGGTGGTTCGGAGAACCAGTAGCAAAAATCCCTGCCGCCCCCCATGCCCAGCGCGCGATCATCAGAGGCTTTTTTTTTTTTACTTTTAAAAGCATTTTTTCTTAGGCCGAAAAAATGCTTTTAAAAGGCTCTGACGATCTTTCCGTTGTGTCGCTCCTAACATTTTCTTCTCTTTTTATTTTTTTATAAAATTTATAAACTTTATTAAAACACAAATAAAACATTTACACAACATACGACATAAAGATAAATTATTCTTTTAAAGCATTGTTTCATAGTGGTTTTCCAACTAATACTGTTGGTTAGAGCTCAGTGGTGGGTTGCCCCCGGTTCGGACCGGTTCCCAGGAACCGGTAGTAAAACCAACAGGAGGCCCCACCCATCGTCCCGGATGTTGTCATCAGCGATATGCGCAGAAGCAGAAGCAAGGTGCATGTGCAGAAGCAAGGCGCACGCACTCGTTTCGCTCGCTCATGCGCGTGATCCCATTTCTAACCGGTGGTAAAGGTAAGTAGAACTCACCCCTGTCAGAGCTGCCATGAAGGAAAAGTAAATAAAGAATCCAATTCAAGAAAAATCAACACAGCGAAATCAAATATATATTTGGTTTTGATACGGACCTCCCATCCTGACACAGAAAATACTTTAAAAGTTCTTTCCGTTGTGTCGCTCCTAACATTTTTTTCTCTTTTTATTTTTTTATAAAATTTATAAACTTTATTAAAACACAAGTAAAACATTTACACAACATACGACATAAGGATAAATTATTCTTTTAAAGCATTGTTTCATAGTGGTTTTCCAACTAATACTGTTGTATTTCTTCCCCTTTTTCTTAGCCTAATAATTTTTTTTCGTTTTCCCCTCCCTCTCATTTTCTTCTCTTTATATGCTATATTAGTTCCCCTGTTATTTTTTATCCATTGAAATCAGTAGAGAGGGGTGTGTGGGAAATCCCCAGTTTGTACAATAACTCTTGGGATTATAATTTAATTCATTCTTTTTATTGTCTGAGTGAAAAGTACCAATTAATTGGTTTTTTTTTTAAAACAACAACAATTTGTTTTGATGGTTCCCCTGTTATGGGTGAGCTCCAGGGCCTTTGCCCCATCCTAAAACAATAACTGTCTTAGACAGTTGCTGACCTTGTTTAACAAGACAGAAAACTCCCATAAAATAAATTGGCAGAAAATGTTGCAACTATTCCAGTTAAGGATTAAGAAACTGGTCCTGGGTAGGAAGAATTCCCACTGCTAGAAATTACTACCCTCTGCATTGATTTCCTGTTAGATAGAAAACTGAGCATCCCTTTAGCTAATTAGATAAGGCAGGAAGCAAGATAAAGGAGAATCCCCCCCCCTCATATTGCAGAGGGGAAGCCTCAGATATTCCAGGCCCTAGAAATAGGCAGGTTGATGGCTAAATTTTGAGTGCAATTAATATCACTCCAAGAATTGGTTGGATTCAGATATGTGGGACTCTTCTTACGACAACTGAATTATTATTATTCGAGAAAAGCAGAAAGCAATAATTGCAGTTTTGTACCTGCTGATGTTCAAGTATGGCTTTGTGCCTGATTTTTGGGCTCATAAGTATGAATGCCCTAGGAGAATGGTGCATGCATATATGCATGTATGTGTGGGTGTGTGGTGTATGCATACATATAATCTGTTTCAAATCTTCCAAGTGAGTCATAGCTTCCCAAGCAAGGAGTAAAAATATCTCCAGTGGAAAAAACGGAATGCTCCCCAAAAGGAGGTTAATAAGACGAACGTTCCTGTTAAAAGGTCAAGCATGGCCAAGTTTTTGCTATTGCCATTTCTCGCTCCTTTAAACAAATTTAATATGGGAGAATGCTATTAATTAATAGCAACCCTCTCATGAACAGGACAAATTCTCCAAGAGATGAATGAGAGGCTCTAATAAATAAATAACAATTAGATTTCAATGTCTAAATCCGGGATATCAAACTTGATTTCGTTGAGGGCCGTATCAGGGTTGTGTTTGACCTTGGAGGGGCAGGGGGGCATGGGCAGGGGGGCATGGGCAGCTCAATGTCACTTGTGCTGGGGGTGCCTGGGGTGGCCTGAGAGCTCTGCCAGCGAAAACAGGCTCCAGAGTTCCGTATTCGGCTGCGACGGTCTCCTGCAACCCTCTGCCAGCAAAAATAGAGCATGGGGGGCCCTCGCTCCATTTTTGCTGGCAGAGGCACCATGGGCTGGTCCTTTGCTGTTTCCAGGGCAGCCCCACGGAGCAGATCTAAACAGCCCATGGGCTGGATCTGGCCCCTGGGTCTTGATTTTGATACCCCTGGTCTAAATGATGGGGGTGTATAAATGGTGATGAATGTCAAAATATAGTCATGGAATAGATTTGGAAGGATCAATGTTACCCTTAGGTCTAACAAGTAACATGAGGTTCTCGTGTGGTGATGAATGAGAGTTGGAAGGGACCTTTTAGGTCATCTAGTCCAACCCCCTGCCCTAGTAGGAGACCCTACACCATTTCTGACAGATGGCAGTCCAGTCTCTTGAAAGCTTCCAGTGGTGAAGCTCCCACAACTTCTGAAGGCAATTTCTGTTCCATTGATTGATTTTCCTCTAGCTTTTAGTTAGCTGAATCACCTTTGGAAAGCCAGGATTCTGTAATAATCTGAATGCACTGAGCATTGAATAATCTTTGAGCTCTCCTCTGCTTTAAGCTCTATATTTAGCATTTTCATGTGGATCTTAATCTCAATGCCCTAAAAATTTTCAGTGGCCTCATAGAAATTGAACTAAAAGCTTATTTGTTTTCGGTGCTGATGGATTTGATCTGTTGAAGATCTCATTGAAACAAGGCAAGATATTACAGACAAAATGCAGACAACAGAAACAACAATGGGAAGAAAAGGGATTTTTTGTAAAGAAAATAAAAAAGCAAAACTCTACTTACTAATCTGCTTTTATGTAACCTTTTCCTTCTCGATCAAAAACTCTGAAAGCATTCAAAATGATTTCTTCTGGATCAGTGCCTAAAAAAAAAAAAAGAACAATCAGATTCTTTATACTCTGAACATTTTTCTGCACAGGCATTAACGGCAGACATATTGAATGTTCAATGTTTGATTATTTTTACCATTTGATTGATTCCTATATCTTTGAGGTCTGGCAACTGAAAGCATGAATAAATTCCACTGAACAATGCCATCTAAGGTAATTCACCCAGTTCTGCTAAGACAGTTGTACATGGGTACTTGTTCTGCATTTTGCAGTCTTTTGGGATGTATCTAAAAAAGAACAGCTCCAATTTTCTGCAGTGGTGTTACTACTCAAGCATGAGACGCCACATTCTGCCACTCTCGTATGTTGAGTTAATTTTGAAAGCATCTTCTTGTCACTCTGCACCATAGAGAGTATTTTAACTTACTGCACCTGTGTATGGTTTGCCAATTGCACAATGGCAGATAGGACAGCACTCCAGAGGGTCAACGTCATTGCCCAGAGGATCATTGGTTGCCCTCTCCCCTCTTTGGAAGAGCTTTATAGCTCCCGCTGTCTTAAGAAAGTTCAAAACATTCTTAAAGATCCATCTCATCCTGGGCATCCCTTTTTTTGAACTATTACCATCTGGCAGACTGTACAGGACAATAAAAACAAGAACAAATAGGCTGAAAAACAGCTTCTATCCCAGAGCAGTAACTATATTGAACTCTACTACCCATGTTTCCCTGAAAATAAGACCCTGTCTTATATTTTATGAACCCTGAAACAAGTGCTTGGCCTTATTTTGGGGGAGGTCTTATTATTTTGGGGTGCATGGAGCAAGACAGGGCTCCTCTTGCTGTCTTACCTGATTTCCAGCTCTGTCTTCCTAACCCTAACCAGAGAAAATGGCGGGGACCAGCTGCATATGTGTTTAAATATTTTTGGGGAGGGCTTATTTTCAGGAGAGGGCTTATTTTCAGGGGAGGGTTTATTTTTGGGGGAAGGACTTATTTTTAGGGGAGGGCTTATTATGGGGGTTTTCAATTCAATTGTATAGAACGTGAAGGATGTGTGTTTTTGTTTTATTTTTTATGTATAATGTACACTGAAGATGGCATTTAATTTCATTGTACAAGGTGTAATGACACTAAACTAAACTAAACTAAACTAAACTAAACTAAACTAAACTAAACTAAACTAAACTCCAGTAACTGAATGAGCCCACCCCCCCACCCCACCCCCCGTATTTTATCAATTTTTATACTTTCTCATGAACATTAGAATCTCCTGTTTACCCAAAGTAAGGATCATCTCTGTTGTATAATGTCAACAACTAACTAGGGAACCAAGATTCCAAGCTATTGTTCTAGTTCCGCTTCTACAAATGTCTTAGAAATAGATGTTACCAGCATTTTTGGATATGATGCATGCAAGCAGCATTTGACAGATAATACCCCATCCAATGGTGGGATTCAAGTAATTTAACAACCAGTACTCTGCCCTAATGATTTCTTCCAACTACCAGTTTGCCAAACTGCTCAGAAAGTTAACAGCCGGTTCCCCCGAAGGGCTGCGAACTGGCTGAATCCCACCACTGACCCCATTCCTTGCATGAGATGAGCAAGAGCAGATAGGTGAATGAATGAATAAATAAAACTACTTGACTGTAACTGTTTTTAATCTCTAGAAAGTGTTCCAGACCAGGAAAGAAAGGTGGTATTGACTAGATAAAAGTTAAAGTTGATTTCATTGAAATGAATTAAACATACTTCCCATTATTATTCCATATGTATTTAATGTTTATCTTCTTTAAAAAAAAATTCAGAATAAATATTTGTGAAAGCAAAACAGACTATCTTTGGAAGAGTGATAATAGCTGCAAAATAACAGCTGCAGAATAACTCTATGGGTTCAAGGACAGAGGGACTAGTTCCAAAAACTGGTTGCCGATATCAGTGCCTGTTGGATTAATGCCTTGAAAAAATATAACACGCTGTTTCCTCCGATAGTCTCCTTTTAATCTCTATAGCACGTTCCTTGGAAAGAAATACACAAAAATTAATTTATTTGATGTTCCTGGTTCTCGGCTTCAAGGTGAAAAGGTCATTTATGCCTTCACAGCTGCAGAAAAATGACATTCACCCTATCGGGCAGCAAAAATCTGGATAACCATTAGGGGACAGCAAAGAGAGCATAAAATCGATGCAAACCGGTAATAAAGGTAAGTAGAACCCACCCCTGGTGGAGACAATAACTTGGTCCATAACACAAATAAGACCAAGGAGCTTATAGTGGACTGTAGAAGGAATAGATCAGACACCCAGCCCTTGCTTATCAATGGAGACCGAGTGGAGCAAGTGGCCAGTTTTAAATTTCTGGACTCACATTGCAGCACTGGTCAAAAGGGCCCAGCAGAGATTATACTACCTGAGACGTCGCAGGAAACAACAACTGAATGAAAAACTGCAGGTGGCCTTCTATCGCTGCACCATAGAGAGTATTTTAACTTACTGCACTTGTGTATGGTTTGCCAATTGAACAGTGGCAGATAGGACAGCACTCCAGAGAGTCAACGTCATTACCCAGAGGATCATTGGTTGCCCTCTCCCCTCTTTGGAAGAGCTTTATAGCTCCCGCTGCCTTAAGAAAGTTCAAAACATTCTTAAAGATCCATCTCATCCTGGGCACCCCCCCCTTTTTTTTAACTATTACCATCTGGCAGACGGTACAGGATAATAAAAACAAGGACAAATAAGCTGAAAAACAGCTTCTATACCAGGGCAATAACCATATTGAAATGTATGGTATAGTGCAATATCGGGTTATCTTTAGCCAGGTTCTTCCTACGTAAACCAAGATTTTTATGCAGCCCTAGTTCAGTGAAATCACAATCCACTAGTTTCTAGGCTTTTTCTCTTTTTTTTCTTTCTTTTTTTTCTGGCAGACAGCAAACACTCTGCTGCCCATTGGGAGACTAAGGAGACTAAGATAGTGTGTGTGTGTGTGTGTGTGTGTGTGTGTGTGTGTGTGTATATATATATATATATATATATATATATATTCTTACTTTTTCGTAGCTTTTATGTGTGTTTTTCTTTTAGCCAGGTTTTTCCTACGTAAAATATATATATGCTGATAAAGAAATAAAGGGAGACTAGTATAGAACTATTTCAAGCTATTTAGCTCTCATCAGCTAGCCATACCCTTACTCGGATTCGAACTTGGGTTGCCTGCATATTAGCCAGTTGTATTAACCTCTGAGCCACAAGTTTTCCTCCCTTAATCAGCTTGAGCCAGGGAAGAGATTAAGTGTTTTTCTGTCAAAGCACCTGGTCTACCCCAATATGGGAGGGAGCATCCTGCTTCCCTTTCGTCTTTCAGCTCCAATCCAGGAGCCATCAAGCAGTCGCATTCACGACAAACCAAATTTATATTTGCTGATAAAGAAATAATTGGGGTAAACCAGGTGCTTAATCTCTCCCCTGGCTCAAAGTTAGTTAGTTAGTTAGTTAATTATAGTTAGTTATAGTTATATGAATAAATCATCTTTTGATCCTAATAAGGACTCTGAATATATAACATAAAATTAATACATTACATATTAGCAGAATAAAACCAGCATAAGAAAGAACAATGCAACCAGGTGATCAGAACTTTAGGAAGGGAAATCATTAAAGTTGGATAAAAAAAAGTTATTGCCTACTTGAAAACAAGGGAAAGTAAGTTCATTCCATCTATTTATGCTAACAGGACAAATACAACATTTTGAACTGTTGCCTGTCCCTGATCAAAAGAAAATACTTGCTAGTCAAGCCCTCACAAAGGATTTGTTGAGCAAAATAAACCCATCTTTTTCCCAGTTCTCAAACTGGCCTGAAGCTACAGATTTTTAAAAGCAATTATGCAACAAAGAACGAAGCTGTGAAGGAAGCCACAATGGCAGGTCTGCAGTCCTGTTCCTTCAGAACCCAACACCATGGTATAACTTGGACAAGTTCCCTATTCAAAAAAATTAGCTGTGCTAGAAATCAATTAAATTCATCAAAGGTTGGTCAAAGCAGGAGCAGAGGGGTGGGTTGGGTTTCTGGGAATTTTGAACAGGGAGATACATATTCTGACGCCAGATGAGTAGTTAAAGAAAAACGAAAAAGCATTTTGTGTTAATGCCAACCACATGGGTCTCCTCTCTACAAAGAGTTGGAAGAAATGCAATTTGTATACCACACAGAGATCCTTCACTTCATCAAAGAAACCACTTTATGGACCAGCTAATCAATAGAGAATGCTGGCCGCAAAGTTCCACTTCAAAGCAAAGAGTCCAGGAAGATGACAAAGTACACAAGGCATATTCTTGCTTTCTCTTGTCTGTCTGTCTGTCTGTCTGTCTCTCTCTCTCTCTCTCCCTCCCTCCCCTCCCTCCCTCCCTCCCTCCCTCCCTCTCTCTCTCTCTCTCTCTCTCTTTCTCTCTCTCTCTCTCTCTCTCTCTCTCTCTCTCTCTCTCTCTCTCTCTTCCATCAGAGAGGGTAGGAAAACTCTCCAATGCTGGAGATTTTAAAAAATCTTTTATGGATATAAGTTCATTAGTGAAAGAGACAACTTCTATGGGAATTGATCTCAACTGGGTTGGTCAAAACTGTTTTGCTCTTGAGTCCAGAACAAATTGCCAAAAAGGCATTAAGAGTTGTTAACCTAATATTGCGAAGCTTCTTCTCCAGTAATATTGTACTGCAAACTAGGACATACAAAACCTTTGCTAGACCAATTCTTGAATACAGCTCGTCTGCCTGGAACCCGCACTGCATATCAGACATTAATACAATTGAGCGAGTCCAGAGATATTTCGTAAGAAGAGTCCTCCACTCCTCTGCTCACAACAGAATACCTTATGCCACCAGGCTTGAAATTTTGGGCTTGGACAACTTAGAACTATGCTGCCTATGGTCTGATCTAAGTGCACAAAATTATCTGCTACAACGTCCTACCTGTCAATGACTACTTCAGCTTCAACCGCAACAATACACGAGCACACAATAGATACAAACTCAAGGTAAACCGCTACAAACTCGATTGCAGAAATTTCAACTTCAGCAACAGAGTGATCAATGCCTGGAATGCACTACCTGACTCTGTGGTTTCTTCCCCAAACCCCCAAAACTTTAACCTTAGACTGTCTACTGTTGACCTCACCCCATTCTTAAGAGGTCCGTAAAGGGGGTGTGCATAAGTGCACCAATGTGCCTACTGTCCCTGTCCAACTGTCATGTTTATACTTATACCTGTTATCTCGTACATGTTTGACAAACTAAATAAATAAAATAATAAAGTTGGCATCTTAGACTATCCACCGCAACAGAAAGCTGTAGGACAGATTCTAGGCAGAGAAGGACAACCTGCAGTTCCTTAGCCTAATCGCCCCCTGCAAGTTCAGATTTTGATAATAGTGTCTGAGGATCTTTAGTAACTTACTGGTTGGGAGAGAAAATAGAAGTGCCTGAAAAGCAGAGAAAAGAGAGACTTGCTACTCCACATACATTTAGCTCTGTCTCCCCTCATTCCCGGTTTCAGCTCCATGAACTACTGCTCTACAGCTGCCAACAGATTCTTTCTGAAGGCCACTGGTCCTTGACAGAGAAAGAATCTCCCAGCTTGGAGGATGCAGGAATTCATATACCCATCTTCCCACATATGGCTAAAGCTGCTTCACCACTCCTGCCATCTACTTGAATAGAATAGAATAACAGAGTTGGAAGGGACCTTGGAGGTCTTCTAGTCCAACCCCCTGCTTAGGCAGGAAAACCTATACCATTTCAGATAAATGGTTGTTCAATCTCTTCTTAAAAACTTCCAGTGTTGGAGCATTCACAACTTCTGGAGGCAAATTGTTCCACTTATTAATTGTTTTATCTGTCAGGAAATTTCTCCTTAGTTCTAGGTTGCTTCTCTCCTTGATTAGTTTCCACCCATTGCTTCTTGTCCTGCCCTCAGGTGCTTTGGAGAATAGTTTGACTCCCTCTTCTTTGTGGCAGCCCCTGAGATATTGGAACACTATACTTGCTGCCAATTCATAGAAATGCTGCAGTCATGTTGTGGGTGACTTGGGCAAACTGTGTAGATGTCTCTTCACTCAACCCAAGAGGCCAAACTATAGGTCTGAAACATGTTGGAAGAAGTCCTTTAGTTAAGGAAGGTATCCAAACCAGACCAGAGTTGCAGGAAATCGTAAAATCATAGGACTGGGAAGGGACCTTGAAGGTCTTCTATTCCAACCCCCTGCTAAGGAGGAAAGCCTATACCAGTGATGGTGAACCTTTCCGGCACCAAGTGCTGAAAAGGTCACACAGAAACGTCTTGCACGTGCGCACACGCTCGTCATGGCCGCACTCCGGAAAAGCCGAATGTCTGGGTTCTAGCACGTATGCGCGCCACATGATCAGCTGGCCGGCGCACATGCACAGGCTGGTTTTCAGCATTGTTGCACACATGAAGGGAAAAGCCAAACTTCCGGGTTCTGGCGGGCATACACACCTGACTATCAGCTGGCTGGCACGCATGCGCGCATTGGTTTTTGGCTCTGCCGCATGTGCAAAGGACAGTTGATCATGGCACGCGAATGCACACCAGAAACCCAGAAAACAAACAGGCAAGGTCACATGTGCCAGGCACCATGGCTTCATGTGCCAGTTTGGGCACCTGTGCCATAGGTTCGCCATCATGGGCCTATACCATTTCTGACAAATGGTTGTCCAATCTCTTATAAAAACTTCCAATGTTGGAGCATCCACACTCTGGGAGGCAAACTGTACCATTGATTAATTGTTCTGTCAGGAAATTTCTCCTTAGTTCTAGGTTGCTTCTCTCCTTCATTTGTTTCCAATCTTTGCTTCTTGGCCGACCCCCAGGTGCTTTGGAGAATAAATCGACTCCCTCATCTCGGTGACTGCCCCTCAATGCTGGAAAACAGTTATCATGTTACCTCTGCTTCTTCTCTTTGATAGGTAGACATACTCAGTTCCCTTAATCATCCATCACAAGTAAACAGTGAGGCATCTCTCAGGATTGAAGCAGGAAGGACAGGTACCCTGCCAATCCAACAGACATCACTCTTCTGTCTGTCAAACCCTTGATCTGGTCCAGTTTTTATAAAGACAGAAGAAGGCAGGAGATGTCTGTTTATTCCTCTGGTCTCACGAGACACCAACTGACCTAAATCTTATTGTATTATCTTTAAATTAATAATGTCAATACAATGTTATTGTATTTAGTCCATTCCCTCATCCCACCCCCATATCTACTTAGTTGTTTTTGTTCTTGTCAACCATCTTACAGAATCAACAATAACCATATTTGGAATGCTAAACTAACAGCCTATTAATTAGCATTCCGCAAGACAACCTGAATTAGGACTGATTGCCAGAATATTTGTCTTAGTAAATATTTCATTTTGAAACAAAGTAGTTCCTTTAGGGATACAGATGTGTGTGAGCTAAACAGAATGGCTTTGAACGTTTCCTCACATGATGGCCTTTGCAGAGAAAAATTATCAATTTTGACCCTATCATAACCTGAAATAACCTTTACTGAGTTCAATCACCCTAGATAGAGGATTGAAGCCAAAATTTGCTTTGTCAGCCAGCAAACTGAAATTTAGTTGATAAATTTAGTTGATTAATTTGTGTGTGTGTGTGTGTGTGTGTGTGTGTGTGTGTATGTGTACATTCTCAAAGTTCAGGCAAATATGAAAAGATCAGGTTCTATTAGTTGAACAATTAATTGAATAGGAAGTAGTGATTTACTGAATCTTATTAATGGAAAGCAGCTGGGGGAAATGTACAAAGAAAATCTTAAGATTTACATTGGAATATATGGGGAAAGGCCTTTCTTCATATGATGTGGTCCCATCCCATAATATTCTCTTCTTGAGTTATGTTCTTTGTGGACATGATCTGTAGTCCCCCCCTGCCCCATTCGGGGTCATCCAGCAAAGAATAGTAGTAAATGATTCCAATTAGAAAAAGAGCCATGCTACATCCAAACAAATAAATCACTTTATGGCTGAATGTGATGGTTTTTTTCTCATACAAGATGCTAATCTAGAAATGTCTCCTCTCCTTTAATTTCGCTTTAGCATCTGACGTAAAGCCTGCATTGTGCAGACACAGGTGGTAAGTTACTCTTCCTCATAAAGTTGCTTCTTTGGTAGGAATGGCCCTTGACATTGGAAGGCAGTCAGTAAGGCTACTCTCTAACATCATCTCTGGACCCTCAGAGTATTCTCCACATCCCAACAGACTGTTCTATTGTTGTTTTTGGTTGTTCCTGATCGAGTAGGTACCTTTTCAACAAGGCATTGGGGTGCAACCAACCAGGGGTGGGCTTCAGATCCTTTAGCAATGAGTTTGCTGCCCTATTGCTGGGTGGGCGTGGCCATAGTGGACGTGGCCTAATCAGCCGTCTGCACCACAGCGGGGGAGGGGTGTTTTTCACCCTCCCCAGGCTCCGGAGGTTTTCCTCGAGCCTCTGGGAGGGCAAAAACTGCTTCCCCTGGGGCTCCAGAGGCCCTCCAGAGGCCAGAAACAGGCCCGTTTCCGAATTTCTGGAACCTCCGGGTAGGCCCGTTTTTTGCCCTCCCAGACCCTCCGCGCGGCTCCTGCACTTATCTGGAATGATGAACGGGCTGTGTGGAGACTCCTGGGAGGGGCGGGGAGGAGTGGGCATGGCCAGCCAGGGGTGGCATTTGGGGGTTTGCCGAAACCCGGTGATCCTTGGCTAGAGGATCACCCGAATCCTGCTGAACCCCCAGGAGCCCACCCCTGCAACCCTCCACAATCCTGTTGTCCACAAGTACATAGGAACTTATATGATAACCAGAAGCGCTCTTGGCTATAAAGATTAAGTAGGGTGCTGTGCTCTATAGCAGCCTAACCTCCCACTTAATTGTGATTTTCTTCCTTAAAATAATCTTCATTATGGAAGTGGGCTCGCTCAAAATTTGACTACAGCCTAAGTTAGCCCATGATTTTGCTGTTGGAAAGATACTCTACTCCAGGACAAATGAACACATAGACAAAAAGACAGCTAATGTGGGTGAGGAAAATAGATGCCTATTCCACATATGCCATTCTCATCTGATTACTCCTTACCTTTCAGTTTCTCACCAAACATAGTAAGGAAGACCGTAAAGTTGATGGCACCTGGAGCTTCCTTGATCATTGCTTCCAACTCTTCCATTTTAACATTCATACGCCCTGTAATGTAATGTTCTGATTATGTACTGTGAAAGCCAAGGAAATATCAAATGCAGTAATGAATAAAGTCACGATGGTCTGGAAGAACAGAAGATGATTGCTAAAATATTACTAATATTACCAAGCCAAATAAGGCTTCTATATACAGTATCAGGGGCTCTTGGTGCTCTCTGAACTTGGTTGTTGTTGTTTTTTGCAGACGTTCCATTACCAAACTAGATAAAATCATTAGTATACTGATGATGTTACCTAGTTTGGTAGTGAAATGTCTACAAGAAAACAACCAAGTTCAGAGAGCACCAAGGGTCCTCATTCCAACCCTGAACTACAAATATTCTCTATCACGTCTACATATGTTCTATATTCTGATATTTCAATTTGACTTTATCTAATTTCACTGAAGTTATTAGACTAGCTAACTATATAAACTTATTCCTTTTGGGAAATAAGCTGGCAAATCTTGGCTATCAGCTGTAGCTGCCCCTGTGCTACGTGCAACATTCCCTGCTAATAATAAGGACAGTGTCAAATAATTCTAGCATGGTTGGCCAGTATAGCACAAGCTCAGTTAAAGTCCAGTTTTCCCCATCCATGTGTATGTTGTTCTATGCAATCCAGGATCTCTAACCTAGAGGCTGTTTTCACTGGCCAACATACTGTTGCCCACATGCCAACTAAGAAGTACTTGCAGTGTGCTGATACACACTCAGGATAACCCCTCCTCCAGTGGTGGAATTCAAATTTTTTTACTTGGTGGGCGTGGCTTCGTGAGCATGGTGTGGCTTGGTGGGGGTGACTTGGTGGGCGTGGCAGGGGAAGGATATTGCAAAATCTCCATTCCCACCCCATTCCAGGGGAAGGATATTGCAAAATCTCCATTCCCACCCCACTCCTGGGGAAGGATATTGCAAAATCTCCATTCCCACCCCACTCCAGGGGAAGGATACTTCAAAATCTCCATTCCCACCCCACTCCAGGGGAAGGATACTGCAAAATCTCCATTCCCACCCCACTCCTGGGGGAAGGATACTGCAAAATCCCCATTCCCACCCTACTCTGAGGCCAGCTAGAACTGGTATTTGCCGGTTCTCCGAACTACTCAAAATTTCTACTACCGGTTCTCCAGAACCTGTCAGAACCTGCTGAATTTCACCCCTGCCCTCTTCCAAAGAAACTTTTTTTAAAAAATAAAAGACTATCACAGTAAACGACACTTCTTTCTGTGACTCTTTGTCTTTACCCAGTGCAGCAAATGTGTCTCTCAGGTCAGCCTTGTCAATGAAGCCATCTCGGTTCTGATCCATGATAGTGAATGCCTATTGAGGAACAAAACATGAATCAACATTTGGAATCCTACAAAGAACCAGCAGATCCTGGATGCTCTTCAAACTTTTGTATCAGAAGACAGGAACTTCTGAAGTTTAATGACCATTCATTGTTACGACAGACTTTTAAAAAGCTTCTTATGATTTGTCTGCCAAGTTATAGCTGCCAACCTGAAGGCAGGGCAAGAAGCAATGGATGGAAACTAATCAAGGAGAGAAGCAACCTAGAACTAAGGAGAAATCTCCTGACAGTTAGAACAATAAATCAGTGGAACAACTTGCCTCCAGAAGTTGTGGGTGCTCCAACACTGGAGATTTTTAAGAGATTGGACAACCATTTATCCGAAATGGTATAGGGTTTCCTGCCTGAGCAGAGGGTTGGACTAGAAGACTTCCAATTCTGTTATTCTGTTAATAGCAGTAGCAGTTAGACTTATATACCATTTCACGGTGCTTTATAGCCCTTTACAGCCCTCTCTAAGCGGTGTACAGAGTCAGCCTTTGGCCCCCAACAATCTGGGTCCTCATTTCATCAACCTTGGAAGGATGGAAGGCTGATCAACCTTGAGCCTGGGGAGATTCGAACTGCAGGCAGCCGGCAGTCAGCAGAAGTAGCCTGCAGTACTGTACTCTAACCACTATGCCACTGAGACTCTTAACCTACCCACACACCCCAGTCCTGTGATCACATTTCAGGCGCTTGGCAACTGACTTACATTTACAACTGGTTATAGTGGTGTCTAGTCATGTCACTGCGATTTACGATGATTTATGTTTCAGAAAAAAATGGCATCCAGTGGCATCCCCATTGGATATGTTGGAGTCACTTAATGACCATGAGATTCACTTAACAACTGTGGTGACTTGCTTTATGACTCATAGAATTGAGTCCAGTCATGTGGTACCCTGAATTATGACTGCAATGATATGACCAGAATTCCAGGCTATGTTGTGGACATAATTTGAGAACACCTATAAAGCATCCCAGTCGTTACCACAGGTGTAACAAACTCTGACTCCCTGTATAAAGTATTTCATACGGATAGTTGCTACTCCACCTTTTCAATGTGGCCCTGCAAGTATAGGCAATCTGATAGGACCAGGGGTGGGCTGCTGGGGGTTCGCACAGGTTTAGGTGATCCTCTAGCTAGGATTCTGCCCAGTTCAGTGAATCCCCAAATCCCATGCCTGGCTGGCCCTGCCCACCCCTCCCCGCCCCTCCCACCCCTCCTTGCCCCCCCCCAAGAATCTTCACACAGCCCATTTTGGATGCCAGGTATGTACAGGGCTCATGTGGAGGTTCTGGGAGGGTGAAAAACAGGCCTCTCAGAAGTTCCGGAAGGCTGGAAACGGGCCATTTCTGGCCTCCTCGAGGCTCCAGGAAAGCCGCCGGAGCCTGAGGAGGGTGAAAAACGCCCCTCCCCCCATGGTGCAGGAGGCTGACTAGGCCATGCCCACCATGGCCACGCCCACGCCCACTCAGCAACAGGGCAGGGAACCCGTTGCTGAGATTTTTGAAGCCCACCCCTGGATAGGAGCCCACCTGAGATCTCAAAGTTTACTTGAGATCAGGTGTAGAAACTGTGAAAAATGCTTGCTACAGTGCCCTCAAATATTTTGCATAAAGATTGCTGCACAATTGTTTATTTATTTATTTATTTATTTTGCAGTTTGGGCTTCTGTTTATAATCCTCCTTCTAGACTGTATGATAAATAAAGACTCCTTTGCATAATTTTTACTTTTTAAAATGAATATCCTGAGTGGTTAAATAACTATTACATTGTCTAGCCAGAATAAATAGGATGATGATGATGATGATGATGATAAATAAAATAAATAAGTAAATAAATAAATTTATTTCTATACCGCCCTTCTCCCGAAGGACTCAGGTCGGTGTACAGCCTATTAAAAGCACAAAGACAGACATCAGTTAAAAATAATTAAAATTATTAAATAATTTCAGATTTAAAACCCCAAAAATTTAAAACACCCAATTTAAAAATCATTACATTGATAGCCCGGCCTGGCGGAAAAGCAGGGTCTTGAGGGCACAGCGAAATACACGGAGGTCGGAGATCTTATGCATTTCCGGGGGCACTTCACAAAAAGGGACTCACATCCGGCTATCTGAGGAACAGTGGTCTCCCTCGGACAAAGACTTTCCCTAATAATTGCCGCCATTCCCCCACCCCTCCCCTGAGCCTTTGGCTGATGAAATGCACAGAAACCTGGTAGGCACATTTCAATGAGGGGGAACCCCCCTCCTGGCCCAACCAGGTCTCCGTAATACCTGCCAGGTCTGCACCCCCCTCCAAGATAAGATCGCAAATGAGGGGGGGCTTTGTTAACAACCGACCTGGCATTACATAACATCAGCCGCGAGTCGCACATTGGAGGCCAGAGTGCGCAATCGTTCATAAACAGCATATGCGCACCCTCAGAACATGATATGGCCCCCTGCGCCCGTCCCACTCGTTATTTCAATTGCACTGCCCTTCCTATCACCCCCCTGCTCCCCGGTCAAATTTCCTTTCACGACCCCTATCACCCCGCTCAGTGGCTATATGGACCCCCCCCAGGTCCATCTTTACAGCCCCCTCCCCTCCTCCCGGGTCCCCTTAAAATTTTCATTAAAAATTTTAATAAAAAGCCCCTCACCCTCCTCCTCGTCCCATGCCACCTCTCGGGGTCCCAAAACCCATCTTTAAGGTAGGCCCTCGATAGTGTAGAGGGCCAGGCCTGCGAGAGGGGGTAGTCTCGCAGCCAAAGATGGATGATGGATGATATTAAATATGCTCATGATGGATGATATTAAAAATCTCCACCATCACAAACAGGAATGATTTTTAATCCTTTTCAATTATCTCCGCACAATCTTAACCAATCCCATTTGATGCTTCCCAGGTGTGTTGCACTGCAGTTCATATTATCCCCAGCTAGCATGGCCATTATCCATGTTGGCTGGATACGTTGGGAATTGCGGTCCATCACACATGAATGGCAGACTTCAAATTTCAATCAAACCCCTTTGATTTAGCAAATAAAGCTTTAATTGCTGCTCTTTTAAAATTGCAAGTTATCGGTAAACCATCTGCTCTGCTTCATAAATAAGATGTACTTGCAGCATCAAATTGTCTTTCCCTCCACCCCCCATTCTACTGGATGTTAAGCTTATTATTCCAGAGCTAGGTTGGTTTTCAAGAGCCCTTGGTAGTAGCAACCGTGTGATCCAAGTTTTGTCTTTTTGTACAGGCAAAGACATCACAAATACACAGGACAAGGCTTCAACTGTGTGGTTGTGGACAGAGCCTTGACTTCTTTGTGTCCTTCCCTCCCTCCAGGGTGCAGGATAAATGACATTACACAGGGGTGGGTTCTACTTACCTTTACTACCAGTTCGCAGCAGGGCCGTGCATGCGCGCTTGCTTCACTTGCGTGCACACGCGCTCTTCTGCACATGTGCAGAAGCATTTTGATGATGTCAGGGTCAGTGGGCGGAACCTCCTGCCAGTTTTACTACCGGTTCTATAGAACCAGTGCGAACTGGGGGCAACCCACCACTAATATTACAGGTAGGATCATGATGGCAATTGGGGGGGCCAGAACTGCCACAGTTAAGCAACACGGTCATAAAGGATAGTGTCCCATGATTGTGTCACTTAGCAACTGCAACTCTGGCAGACTCAATTTGCCATCCTTAAGTGAGGACCACACAGATTGTTAAGTAAGGATCTCACGCGATCGCAACTTTTGACTTCCTGAGGGCATTGACTTTGCATGTGGGAAGTTGGCAAAAAATATCAAAAATCACAATTGTGTGGCTGTGGGGATGTCGCAATCGGTGGAACTACAAGGACTTGTCCATTTGTCCATGACTTTGAGCTGCAGAACAAGTAGACATTAAATGAGGACTACTTGTAAGCCTTTTTCTCCGCCATTCACACGTCAAAAATGGAAGTGGCCCACATTAGATGCCAGCTCTCCCTCCAAGCTCCTTTGTCCTCCATAATACAATTTCCACCCCACCGGACCATATAAGAAAGAAAGAGCTCCATTTTATTTTGTCTTCCCAAACAATTAATTTAAAATCATGAAGCAGCAAATGGAATGTACCTCCTTAAATTCCTGAATCTGGCTTTGTTCAAACATGGACAAAACATTGGCGCTGCCCTCTTCTTTCCTCTGCTTTGCCATTTTGGGAGCCTATGAATTAAAAACAAGAAGAATCATATTAGACAGAAACCACCTTGACGTTTCTGAGGAGCTCTTAATACCTGCCATAGTCTTGTAATGAACAGAAGGAATCACTTTGAGTACAGGTGTCAAATTCAAGGCCTGGGGGCAGGATCTGGCCCATGGGTTGCTTAGATCTGGCCCGTGGGTTCAAACACAATCCTGATGTGGCCCTCAATGAAATCGAGTTTGACACCCCTGACCTTGAGGAATAGGAGGAAGAGCCATGACCAAGACTTTCGTCAAATCAAAGGGATCTGAGTCTGGGACAGAACCAGTGGTGGGATTCAGCTGGTTCGGGCCAGTTCAGGTGAACCGGTAGTTAAATTGTTGGCTGGCCCCACCCCTCCCCGCCACGCTCCTTCCAAGAGTCCCCACACGTCCCATTTTGGCTCCCAGGTAAGTGCAGGGAGGCCTACTAGGCCCAAAAAGGGGCGCGGGGGGAGGTGTGGCAGGTCCCCCCACAACCCGTTTTCACTCCCAGGAGGCTGCAGGGAGGCCTCCTAGGCCCAAAAGAGGGCACGGGGAGGTGGCACGGCCCCCCCATGGTCCGTTTTTGCTCCCAGGAGGCTGCAGGGAGGCCTCCTAGGCCCAAAACAGGGCACGGAGGGATGGCGCATCCCCCCCATGGCCCATTTTTGCTCCCAGGGGGATGCATGAGGCCGAGTGTTGCCTGTCACACCCACTGGCCACACCCACCATGGCTACGCCCACCCAGCCGGTCATTAGGGCAGAAAACCGGTTGTTAAATTATTTGAACCCCACCACTGGACAGAACTGTAAAATGAGAAAGGATCTCAGACCAGACCTCTATATTCTTTCAAAGATAGGGGGGGGGGAGGCACATTCAGACTTGCAAGGTTCTGTTATTGCAGCCCTATAACAAAAGTATTAGTATTCATGACTTTAGTTTCCTACTCTTGAAGGACTAACAGGTCCCTGCTACACTGGTTTGATTTTGTTTCAACCAGGTCATTTCTTGAGGGGAGGGAAATCAAAACAATTAAGATTGTGGCCATAGTCATGCAATCACAGCTCAACTCTACTTTTAACTCTGACGTGCCACATAGAAGGGATTAAATAAGAAAATAGAAAATTAACAGCATGTACCCTAACCAGAACTATGATCAAATATAATGCAGCTCAAGAGTACTTTCCATAAATCCCAACTTCATGTAGTTATTATCATGATGAAGCACATTGCTTAATAACTTGATATAATTAGCACTATTACTAACAGTTAATCTAGTGTTAGAAGGTTTTACAAGTGTTAGTTTATTTATTTCTTTTAGTATAAAGTGGTGACCTAGTTGATATTCCATTTTGCCATTGGAGTTGGAGAAGTCTAGCTTTATAATGTCTATTTTGCATTTTTTTTCCTATTGATATCTATTGTGGTTTGCATAATTAGTTTCTAAGTCCAACATAATTAATGTATTATTGTTCTCGTTAACTGTTCCACTGCTAGTAGTAGTGATTCAGAAACTCCTTGATGTGGATAACATAGTTATATAGTTTAGACATTAGATGGCAGTAGGCTAGGAATGATGATTAATGTCTTTTCAGTTTCTCATTTTCCAAGGCTGAATTTATTTTCAGCAGCTTACTTTATTTATTTACTTATCAAATTTCTACCCTGCCTATCTCATCTAAACGACTCTGGGTGGTTTACAAATAACAATGTAATGTAACAATATAATGTTTTGAAGGGTGCATGAAAGTCAATCTGTGCATAGTCTCCAGTACACAGATTTTCTGTGCCATTTGATCTGCATGAAGGTTAACAAGTAATTTTCTCTACTTGAATACATTTTAAATCACATCACATACCTGTACAATTAGCACAGGGGCCCCACAAGGCTGTGTGCTCTCTCCACTTCTCTTCTCTCTATATACCAATGACTGCATCTCAAACGATCCATCTGTTAACTACTAAGTTCACAGATGACACAACAGGGATCGGTCTCATTCGAGACAATGATGAATCCGCATACAGACAGGAGGTTGAACAACTAACCTCATGGTGCAACCAGAACAATCTGGAACTGAACACACTCAAAACCGTAGAAATTGTGGTGGACTTTAGGAGAAACCCTTCCATACTACCACCTCTTACAATACTAGACAACACAGTATCAACAGTAGAGACCTTCAAATTTCTAGGTTCTACCATATCTCAAGACCTAAAATGGACACCTAACATCAAAAACATCATCAAAAAAGCACAACAAAGAATGTTTTTTTGGCGCCAACTCAGAAAGCTCAAACTGCCCAAGGAGTTCTGCAGAGGAATTATTGAGTCTGTCAACTGCACCTCTATAACTGTCTGGTTTGGTTCTGCAACCCAAAAAGACAGACACAGACTTCAGAGGATAATTAGAACTGCAGAAAAAACAATTGCTACCAACCCGCCTTCCATTGAGGATCTGTATACTGCACGAGTCAAAAAGAGGGCTGTGAAAATATTTACAGACCCCTCGCATCCTGGACATAAACTGTTTCAACTTCTACCTTCCAAACGACGCTATAGCATACCAGAACAACTAGGCACAAGAACAGTTTTTTCCCAAACGCCATCACTCTGCTAAACAAATAATTCCCTCAACTGTCAAACTAGTTACTAAGTCTGCATTACTATTAATCTTCTCATCACCCATCTCCTCCCACTTATGACTGTATGACTGTAACCTTGTTGCTGGTATCCTTACGATTTCTATTGACTGTTTCCTAATATGATTTGATTGCTTATTTGTTCCCTATGACTATCATTAAGTATTGTACCTTATGATTCTTGATGAATGTATCTTTTCTTTTATGTACACTGAGAGCGTAGGCACCAAGACAAATTCCTTGTGTGTCCAATCACACTTGGCCAATAAAGAACTCTATTCTATTCTAAAAATATTATTTTATTAATATATACATTATGTCAATTTTGGAGAGCATATATTCTCTACTCAATTTGATCTGATCTCACAACTCTTAGAGACAAATAAAGAAGGATAACTACCAGGTTATCCTGGCTTGTATATTTGTGAAATGCAAATTGATCATCATCATCGGAATGGATGAGGCCAGCAATTTCCCACTCTTGTGGGTAGAATCAGCCCTAGAATTCTTTCCTCCTTTTCAAAATTAAATGTGTCTCTAAGAGTACTTTTAATTTCCAGTCACCAAAATAATAAATCAACCTGCAAAGATAAAACCAGAGGCTGAGTCAATCTTGGCCAAAGGTTTTGTTTTCTTTTCTTTTAAGATTTAGGCTAGGTTTTCCTTGCAAGAATTCTTTACATTTTTTCCAGGTCAGAGAGTCAAGAAAAAAAAAAGAGGAACAGCTATAAGCACTAAATGTAAATCAGGGTTACCATTCAAAGCCATAGAAAATCTGAATTAGTTCAGAACTCAGATGCTGAATAGAAAAACACACACACAAAAACATACTGTACAGGTAGTTCTTGACTTACCACAGTTCGTTTAGTGACCATTCAAAGTTACAACGGCGCTGAAAAAAGTGACTTATGATTGTTTAATCACACTTACGATCATTGTAGCACCCCCATCCCCCATGGTTATGTGATCAAAATTCAGACCCATGGCAACTGATTCATATATATCAGGGGTGGGCAAATGAGACAGCCAAGCTGTCTCAGGAATTCTGGGAGTTGAAGTCCACAGGTTGTAAAAGGGCCACATTTGCCCACCCCTGATATATATGATGGTTGCAGTGTCCCGGGGTTATGTGATCAATTTTTGCGACCTTCTCTCAAGCAAAGTCAATGGGGAAGTCAGATTCACTCAACAACTCCAGTGACCTGCAAAGGTCCTAAATGCAAAGTTACTTTTTCATCGCCGTTGTAACTGCCAAACTGCAAACAGTTGCTGCACAAGGCAGTTGCTTAATAGGACTATGTATAGTCAATGACGTCAAATTCTTTAAAAAAAACAACAACCAAAGGATAGAAAAAAACAATAATGGTGTTTTAACGAGGTGAGCTCCCATTACTTGTCCCAGCTTCTGCCAACCTAGCAGTTCGAAAGCACGTAAAAAAAAAAATGCAAGTAGAAAAATAGGGACCACCTTTGGTGGGAAGGTAACAGCGTTCCGTGTGCCTTTGGCATTTAGTCATGCCGGCCACATGACCACGGAGACGTCTTCGGATAGCGCTGGCTCTTCAGCTTTGAAACGGAGATGAACACTGCCCCCTAGAGTTGGGAACGACTAGCACATATGTGCAAGGGGAACCGTTACCTTTATTTTTAATTATTTTTTGTTGGAAAAAGAGCAGCAGGCTACTCATGGGCCAGTAACTGGCAATTTCTGGCAGAAAACAAGCCATCCGTAGGACGGTTTTTTGACTGTTAAGCAAAATCCAGTGAATAAGAATGGTTGTTTTTTTGTCGGCAAGAAGGATCCAATTGTGCATCAGAAGCATTTGAGCATAATACAATAATATTGTATATTGAAATGCCAGAGTGATGCCATTCCTTGTTCTGCTCTGTCGCAGATATCAGAAATTTGGAAAGTATCTGAAAACCCTTGGCTCATGATCTTTCTCCTCCCCATCTTTTTATTATTATTATTATCTTTATAAACACAAAGTGAATTTGTTTACTACAAGGAAAAGAAAGGCAGAATTACAAATGTAAATGACTGAACATATTTATTTATTTATTTATTTATTTATTTTATTGAATTTCTATACCGCCCTACTCCCGAAGGACTCAGGGCGGTGCACAGCCATAAAATAAAACACATAGATATACAAAATTTAAAATCAAATAAAATGAACTAAATAAATTTGGCTGAATTAGTACCCATAATTTAAGATACCCATTTTTTAAAATACATTAAGAATTTAAAAATTTAAAATTTACACTTAAAAGGGAGAAGATTTAGGCGAGGCCAGATTGATGAAATAAAAACGTCTTCAACTCGCGGCGGAAGGTGCGCAGATCCGGAATCCTCTGTA